AAAAAAAAAAAAAACATAAGAGAGTCTTAAATATAGAGAATAAACAGAGGGTTGCTAGAGGGGTTGTGGGAGGGGAGATGGGCTAAACGGGGAAGGGGCTTAAGGAATCTACTCCTGAAATCATTGCTGCACCATGTGCTAACTAACTAACAGGATGCAAATTATAAAAAATAAATAAGCTATAGAAAGTAAAAAAGAAAAACATGATGCTGGCTTACTTTACAAAAAATATTTAAGATTAATGGTAGCTTGCCAGTAATATAATTTAGAATGGTATTCAGTAGAATAGTCTGTCTCTCCACAGTGACATATAAACTTTTTGTCTCCACTTCCATTTCCAGGTTGCCATCACGAAAGCCAAAGTGGATTTCTCCAGTGTAGTGTGCCTGCCCCCTTCCGTCATTGCTGTGAATGGGCTGGACGGAGGAGGGGCTGGCGAAAATGATGATGAACCGGTGCTGGTATCCCTGTCTGCGGCCCCCAGCCCCCAGAGCGAAGCTGTTGCCAATGAACTGCAGGAGCTCTCCTTGCAGCCCGAGCTGACCCTAGGCCTTCACCCTGGCAGGAATCCCAATTTGCCTCCACTTAGTGAGCGGAAGAATGGTGAGTATATATGGAATTATTACATTGCCTAATTTGAACCAGGGTCTTCACGTTTATGTTAAAGATCATTACTCTACTTCATGTCTCTTGAAAGTTTCTTATAATCTTACTATTTTCTGTAAAATAGAGAAATGGTAAGTTTAGGTAATCATTATAAACCCAACATTTCCTGCCTGGGTTATTAAAACTGCTTTCTAATTTGTCTTTCTACTTCTCTGCTTCTCCCTCCCAACCTCTTCCATAAATTCATTAATTTAGCAAATATTTATTGAATATCACTATGTCATAAAACTATGCTAAGATTAGGGATTAAATGATAAATAAGCCTCTGTCATTAGGAAACGTATTCCTATACCTTGTCAGAGTAATCTTTTAGACCTCCCTAGCTTAATACTTTTCAGTGACTGCCCTATAGGATAAAAACAAAAGTATGTTTTACAAGGCTTGCAGGATCTGGTCTCTTTCTGTTTTGTTAGCTTCTTCTCTTATCATTCCCTTATTCCTAGTCTTTGCTCCAACTGTTCAGTATTTTTAACACGATTTACAAACCTTGCACTCTTGCTTCAAACTTTTGTTAATTAAAAAAAATTATAGGGGTGTCTGAGTGGCTCTGTCAGTTGAGCATCTGACGCTTGATTTTGGCTCAGGTCATGATCTCACGGTTCATGGGTTTGAGCCCCATGTCGGGCTCTACACTGACCATGAGGAGCTTGCTTGGGATTCTCTCTCCCTCTCTCTCTCTGCCCCTTCCCCTATTGTGTGCACACATGTGTGTTCTCTTCCTCTCTCTCTGTCAAATAAAATTATAATTATAAAATTATAATTTGTATAATTTCTTCTTTGTTGTAATTATAAAAATTCAAGATTTCAGAAAAGGTATAAATAGTAAGATAGCAAATATTTATGTACTCACATGCCATCTGGCTCATGTACTCTTCTCCATGGATCTCCATCCATCCCCAAGGTAATTACTGCCCTGATTTTGATATTTTATTGCCAAGTATTTCTGTATTTTTTTAACAGCATGATTCATAGTAGATCATGACCTGAGCTGAATATGAATATATTCCTGAACAATGTACAACAGTTTTTCTCATTTTTTATATAACATGTATATTAATTGGACAGAGAGAACTCTATTATATATACTCTTCTGCAACTTGTGTTTATTGTTCAGTATTTATTTTCCTGTGAGTTATTAAAGGTATTCTATAAGTTCATCTCATCTGATCTGTGAATCAGCATTTATGAAGTAGTCCTGCTTTTCCCTACTGATCTTTAGTGCCAGCCTATTTCTCAGTGTGCAGAAGTTAATTTTTATGCCCTCTGTTCTGTTTCACTGGTCTCTATTCATCTCTTTGTCATAGTACATCATCTTAGTTATTGTTGCTTAATAATTACTCTTGTTAGAGGGCACCTGGGTGGTTCAGTCGGTTAGGTGTCCAACTTCAGCTCAGGTCATGATCTCGCGGTTTGTGAGTTCAAGTCCCACATCAGGTTCTGTGCTGACAGCAGCCTGGAGCCTGCTTCAGATTCCATGTCTCCCTGTCTCTCTGCCCTCCCCTGCTCATGCTCTGTCTCTCTTTCTCAAAAATAATAAATAAACATTAAAAAATGAAAAAAAAAATCTTGTTGTCTGTTAGGACAGTCTCTCCTTGCCTTTTTTGTCTTCAGAGTTGTCTTGACTGTTCTTGCCCATTTTAATTTTTCATAGTTTTAGAATCAGCTTATGAAGTTATGCAAAAAAAACAAAAAAACAAAAAACACCTCAATGGGAGGCAGCTGGACGGCTCAGTCTGTTAAGTGTTCCAACTCTTAGCTCACCTCAGGTCTTGATCTCAGTCGTGAATTTGGGCCCCACATGGGGCTTTGTGCTGGGCGTGAAGCCTATTTAAAGAAAAAAGAAACTCATTGGGATTTTTTTTTTCTTGAACATTTTATTATGAAAAATTTCAGACACATGATAAAGTGGAGTTTTACAGTGAATACTTTTATGTCTACCTCTTAAATTCTCCCATTAACATTTTGTTATACTTGCTTTATAATATGTCTATCCATCCCTCTATTCATCAATCCATCTTATTTTTTGGATGCATTTCAAAGTAAATTGCAGACACCAGCATTCTTTCATTTTATTGAAACATAACAATAATATAGAATAACATACAAATTGTAAGTGTCCTGGATGAGTTATCACAGAATGAATATACCTGTGTGTAATTACTGCTCTGTGAAGAAATATTCCAGCACCCCCTAACCACCCCATGTGCTTCTTCCCAACTAGTACTCCCTCTTTTTGCCCAAAGGAAACTACCATCTTGACTTCTAACATCATAAGTTAGTTTTGTTGGTTTCTAAACTTTATGTAAATGGAGTCATGCTGTATGTATTCTGTTGTGGGCTTGTTTTGAAATTCATTTGTGTTGAATTATGTATGGGTGTAGTCTGTTTTCATTGCTCTATAATTAGTCCATTTTATGAATATACTGGCATTTGTCTATTTTACTTTTGGTAGGTATTTGTGTTGTTTTAGTTTGGGGCTATTGTGAATCATGCTGATATGAAATTCTTGCACATGTCTTTTTGGTGTACTTGTTGGATTTTGATTCAAAATGTGTCATTTATAGGTTAATGGGGAGAATATACATGTTACATATTGGGTATTCCTGTCCATTAGTTAGTTTTATCTCTTCAGTTAAATAGGTGTTCTTTGATGTCTTTCGACAGAGTTATAATTTTCTCCATAAGGGTCATGTGGATAATTTATTAAGTGTATTCCCAGGTATTTTCTTGGCGGGTGGGGGTGGGGGGAGGTAGATGTTATCAGTGGTATATTTTTATAAAATATTTTCTGACTGTTGGATGCTGGAGAATAGAAATATTCAACCTTTAAAAAATTTTATTTAATTTTTTTTTTTAAACATTTACTTATTTTTGAGAGACACAGAAAGAGCACAAGCAGGGGAGGAGCAGAGAGAGAGAGGGAGACACAGAATCCAAAGCAGGCTCCAGGCTCCGAGCTGTCAGCACAGAGCCTGACGAGGGGCTCGAACTCACGGACTGCGAGATCATGACCTGAGCCAAAGTCAGCCACTCAACCACCTGAGCCACCCAGGCGCCCTGAAATATCCAACCTTTTAAAAACTCCCCTGGCTCTTCTACATATATGCCCTCTTTTTGGGTACCACTCTGCCTCCACTCTTCTTAGCAACTCTTACTTGTTCTTCAGTATTCTGTTCAGGCATCACTCCTTTTGAGACGCCTGTCCTAACTCTTAGTCAGTGTTAGGTATCCTTTTCTTGATTTGCCCCATTGCCCTTTATCGTTACACTTCATCGCTGTATTGTAATTGGAATTCTCCAGTCAGCAACATGAGTGAGCGTCTGGAACCTGAAATCAGACCCATTACGCTTCTGTCACAACCCTCCAGTGTCTTCCTGTGAGGCTTACGATGAAATCATTGTTTTTATGATGTGGGCCAGGTATCCTTTCTGACCTGATTATTTCTTACCTCTGTCCCCTTGCTCACTCTGTGCTGCTTTAGCCACACTGACTTTCTTGCTGTTTCTTGAACACATCAAGTATGCGCCTGTCCTGGGGCCTTGGTACTTGCTGTGCCTTTACTGAAGTTCCTGCACAAATGTCATCTCCTCAGGGAAGCCTTCCCTACCTATCTTATCTAAATATCACCTCCCAGTACTCCCTATCCTGCTTTGTTTTTCTTTCAAGCACTTATTATTATGATGTGTGTGTGTTGGTATATGTGTGTATATATGTTTATTGTCTATATTCTTACCCCCTCGTTGCCCACTTAGATGGTATGTTTCATGAGGCCAGTGGGCAAAGTATTTGAATCAATAGATAGATGGTTTGTTCCACTAGAGGGAAGAACTCTATTTTTACATCCATAGTGGGAAATGTAATGGAAACTCAAGCAGGGTTGGGTTTTTTTTTTTTTAATATTTGTTTATTTTTGAGAGAGAGAGAGAGAGAGAGAGACAGAGAGGGAGACACAGAATCCAAAGTGGGCTCCAGGCTCTAAGCTGTCAGCACAGAGCCCTATGCGGGGCTCGAACTCAAGAACCGTGAGATTATCACCTGAGCTGAAGTAGGATGCCCAACCGCTGAGCCACCCAGGTGCCCCATGCAATTTTTATTTTGGGAAATAAGGGACACTCAAGCATTTTTTTGATTTTTTTTTTTTCCATTTCTAATTTCTCTTTTTCTCCCCCATGATGGGAGAGACTTCAGCTTATTTATATGCTAAGGGGAAAGAATCCGGAGGGAAAAGCTGGAGATGGAAAAAGAGAAAGGATAACAGATGGAGCAGGGTTCCTGTTGAGATGTGAGAGGATGGGATTTAAAGGTGTTGGCTCTGCCCTGCACAGTAGTAAGGACCATGACTCCTCTGGGATAGGAGGAATGGCGGTGAAGGCGATGACAGACAGCCAACAGCTAACCTCTAATATCTTGGGCAGGAAGTGGAGGAAATTGGCGCTGACAGCTGGGATGGTCTCAGGGGGTCCAAAGCAGCTGTTGCTATTGGGGCAGAGATGTTGGTGCATCTTCAGCCTTCTCTCTCAACTTTTTGGCATATAAATCAACTGAATTTTGTTTCCATTTTGAACAACAACTTTCTGGCCTTCCCAAGCTCCTAAAAGAGCAGTTTATTAGCACTCTCTCTACTTTCCCACATTCCAGAGACTTCACTGTATTCTGGCTTCTGTCCTTATCTCTCTCTTCAGTAACTGCCATTGCCAAAGTCATTAGTGTTCTCGTGGATCAAACAGGCACTCTTCATCTTATTTGTCCTCATTGCAGCATTTGACGTGATTGGCCACTCCCTCCCACCTGTAACTTTTCCTCCATGGACATCACTGAAATTACTCTTGGCTTTTTAAAGTCTGCTTTTACAGCCACTTTCTTTTCTGCTCAGACCTTTTGCCAACTTTCTGTACCCATGTCTTAAATTTTGTTTCTCCCCAGTGTTTCGCTGTAGA